TTCGTCGCCATGGATGATAGTTTCTTTAGTGTATTCATGAGAGAGCGAAGTACACGACGACGACGATCACTCCACAACTGAAGTATTTTTTTCATGGGACATTCATTTTATTTTGAAATGAAAAGACAATTATCTATAATATTATGTTTTATTTTACCACAACAACAACAACAACAACAACAACTAATCTATTGTTTACATAAATTTTAAATTGGTAGTTTTTCCCGCTGTTCCGGCGCTTTCGATGAATACATCGCTAGTCTTCAAGGACTCTTTGAGGACGTTCAGGCGATCGCCTTCCTTGAAGTATTCATAGAATCGTAATGGCAGCACACATTTAAAATTTTCAGTTTCCAATACTATTCGATCACCATATTTTGTATTCATGGTGTCGGCATTCACAATTCTAAACTTCTCCCCCACTTCCAAGTCCTTGACATTTTTGAATACTTTACAGAATGTACTGTTGTTTAGTGCGTTAAGATCCATTTTAACTGTTTCAATAACACCACTGGACTGATTGAAACCATCGCTACCTCTCACCCTTATATTTCCAACTCGTGACCTTGAAATCTACCGCGATACACTGCCGAACGATGATCCGCTTGTAATACTGGAGAAATTATTGCATGATATTGCTCGATTCTACGTCGGAATCGAACTCTATCGACTGCTACAGTTTCCCATGGACCTTTCCTTGCTGCCCAATAAGCAAAATGCCACGTCACCATTACATATGCTCTATTATTGAATTCATTGAATTTAACACTCTTCACCGGATTCTGAAGATTCATCCTTCCACGCTTGCAACTGTTCACTAAACTGCTCCAACTTTGCATCCCTTAGTTTCCGGATAATGCACTCGTCACATATTTTATAGCTTAAGTAACTGTCACATATTGCCTCTCCTAACTCATACTTGGCTGCAATAGCTTGGCACTCCTCTGGGCTGTATTCACCGCGTCCATATATCGCCTCGTGCTCTGCATCAAATGTTAATGCAGAAAAATGCTGCTTAAGGCGTCTCACGGCCGTCACGAAATCGACAGATTTGGTCCATGATTGCTCAGCATATGCCATCCACGACATCTTTAATACATGTATACCTTGTAACGACCATATAGAGGCTTATATAAGCGCCAATCCCCACCACCAGTCATATTTAGAATATAGTGTGATTTAGAATCGGCCGTACACTACCATCGACAAGACCCCTCAGGCGCAAACCAAATTACTTTAGCTCGGACGCAAACCTCCGATACTTTATCTCGAGCGCAAACCTCGACCCCCTTGACCTTAGCACAGGCGCAAACCTCCGATACTTTATCTGGAGCGCAAAACCTCGACCCCTTGACGTTAGCACAGGCGCAAACCTCGCTACCACAGTTCAGAACCACTCAATTTTAGTGACTTTTCTAGGGATTTTCATCTAGTGAGATTTAGAATCGGCCATATATTACTACTGCAGTACTTGGTAATCGAAGTAGTCATTACTCATTAGAGTGGAAAAGTACAGTGCGGTACAAAAGTATTAAGGAAAATAAATCAATTTAAAAATTCGGTTGGATCCTTAGGACCCATCGGAAGTAGCTGAGGGTTGCACTATTTCCTTAAAAAGGAACTGCTTTCCCCACGTGGTGCCTCGCCATACGTAAATTTTAAAACTACGAAGTCTCCCAACGCTTCCTTGAACATTGTCATCCTCCTCATGTTCCACCCAATAACTACCATCTGCATGGGAGTCATTTGGTACACTATCCTCTTCATCGGTAGACGAATTTTCCTGTTGTTTCGACCGACCTGTACCAGGAACCTCTTATTTTTTCTAACGGTTGCAATTAAAATCGTGTTCCACGAATTCTCACTTTAGCAAGCTCTAATGGGTGTAGAAAAATTATCGGTTGTAAGGTTTCGCCCAGAACCTTTATAGAGAGACGAGATCTAAAACCGTTCTCTCACCAACGTTAACCTGTCGCGGATCTTCTGCTTGTTTTCCAGTGTAGTTATGGCCTTGCAAGGGATACTTTGATACCGTACTTAGCGGGTTCGGATGACATATATTGCATGAATTTGGTGCAACCTCTAAATGGAAACAACCGCTCATCAATAGTTATACATTTGCTGTAAATTTTTATTGGGCATTGTCCAGATATCTCGTATTGGTGCAACTTTATCTTCTTTTTGCTGTTCTTGACGTGGGTTAATCGTCAAATCTAATGAAGCGTAGCATCATCTTAAAACGATCACGAGACATTGTTGCACGTATCAGTGGCATAGCATCCACCACACCCTTCTAAATTTTCTTTGTTTATATATATATATATATATATATATCCAACAGAAAATAAATCCAATTATAGGACTTGTGGTGGTCGTACTGAAGCATTTAGAAATCTTTGCACCAATTATAAGCATCACAAACTTTTTTGGTCTTTCGATTTGTTTCACGCAAAATAATGTCGCATATCTCAAGGCTCACAATTGATTTGAATAGCTGCTTGGGTGTAAACAGATTGCTGTGAACATTTTCAATATATGGATTTTCAGTTTCAATCGAGACCATCAGAAGTAATTGTATCGGTACTATTAACACTTTTCCTAAATGTGCCCTCTAAACTGTAAAAATCAGTTGTTCATCACAGAAAATAGGGGGCGCAAATTTATCACGTTTTATTGAAATCACTTGTCAGACAAATGAAGATTCTTCTTTATGTTTCGGAATGTGTTTCGACTCGTGCACTTGCTTACAAGCTCAACTCTTTTATCTGAGTCTTTTTACTAATTCATATCGAAAGCCGGAAGTGAATGATATCCAGTTAGTATTAAAATTCCCATGGATTTTTTTGCAACTGAGCAGTAGAAACCGCATAAGGCGCCTGTTATTATCCTGAGCGTACATGTTCCAATTTTGGAACACTTCATAATTTCGCTATTCATTACCAGAGGGAACTATAAGTTTTAAGACTGATGAAATATATTTCTTCTAAATGTTGGTAGAACACGTGTATGACGAATTTGCAGTCTGTTTTCACTTGAACGGTTTTTGTCACGTGTTTGATTTCAAAATTTACGTGTAGATACGTTAGCGTTACCTCTAGATATTCTTAGTTTCTGTGTTTTGTGAAACATTGTGAATGGGTGAGTATACATTTTCCTTAGAGCTTATATAATACATAAATAAATCGGCAAATGCTTAATCTCCAATTTAATTTACCTAATAGCCCCCATTTTTGATATGTTCCAATAATGGAACTTGGCTGTATTTATGTCACTAATGGATAAAGTTCTTTCTTGCGCCACATTTGGCAGTATTTATGTTACCAATTAATAATATTGTTTCTAGTATCAAATTAAAAATGGACGTGAGAACATTTTATGGAAAAAAATCCAGTTGCTCAGCTAATACTCTAAACAATTTACTTGACAACATAAACGAACAAGTTAAAAAGTAATCGTAAACGATTTACATAAAGCGCATTTCCACTTGCATTCATTTCCCATTTGTAAGATGCAACTTCTGTTAAAATCGTAAAAATCCGGCCACAAATATGAAAGATAGCGTTGCACATGGGCAATCCATTGTTGACGTGCTACTTCAATTTCAGTTTATGAGAAAGAATTTCATTTCAATGCTTTTCTAAATAAGAAAGTTGGAACTGCGCATGCGCAAACCTAAATTTTAAAACTAATGTTAGATTTTCCTTTATTCCAAGTGCCTATGTATCAAATTTCGTTTAAATTCTTCCATAAATAAAAAAGTTGGCACTGCGCATGCGCAAAACCAAATTTTGAAATTGGCGTTTGATTTTCCTTTATACCCAGTGCCTATGTATCAAATTTCGTTTAAATTCTTCCATAAATAAAAAAGTTGGCACTGCGCATGCGCAAAACCAAATTTTGAAATTGGCGTTTGATTTTCCTTTATCCCAAGTGCCTATGTATCAAATTTCGTTTAAATTCTTCCATAAATAAAAAAGTTGGCACTGCGCATGCGCAAAACCAAATTTTGAAATTGGCGTTTGATTTTCCTTTATTCCAAGTGCCTATGTATCAAATTTCATTCAAATACTTTTATAAGTAAAAAAGTTTGCAATTCGGTTTATAAATGGTCGAGATGCGAAAAGGGCACTGTGAATTTTGAATCGATTCGATTCAACTTTTGGCATTGCGTATTATATGGCTAAAGCTATGCCCATATTGAATTTCATGCAATTCAGTTCATAACTAACGGAGATGTAAAAGCGATCGAACATTTCTAAACAAAGTTATCGTTCACACGGACAGATAGATGGGCAGACAGACAAAGGAACAGACGGAGAGACCAACCGGCAGGCGACAGATAGCAATGCAAAATTATAAACGATCTCTTAGGATCGTTAATAAACGGCAAAAGGGTAAAATTATGGAACATGTAAAAAACGGTTTTTTGTTTTTTTTACAATAACTTTTTTTGTAAGCGGTACAGAAAAAATTCCTTCCCTGGTACAAGACTCGACACCATAACGAACCAAATAGCGAAAAAAGTAGAACAATAGCTCTTAAGATAAAAAACTAGTAGCGTCGCAAAGTTAGCGGACGGACGGACGGACGGACGAAGTGGCCACAATAGCGCATTTTTTTT